TGATGGTTACGTTACCTTACATATAGGGGCACATTACATATAGGATACAAGTTTGCTACTGTAAAAAGAAATATTGTTTTTTTTAAATAGTTGTTATTCCTAATAGACATGTAATAGATGCTTTTTCGTAATATTCCTTATTCACGACAGCCGGGATGATTGTCTTCATATTGTTATGCAAATATACGTAAAACGAGTAAGATAACCCYTTTATAATTACTAAAAAAGGGACCTATACTGAAACAGCCAAATTTAAAGATATATCTTTTTTATCTCTTAAATAATATCAAGCAAGAAGTTTTGCTAGTCATTGAAAATATGCCGTTTCTTTTAATGTTTTATTGTCTCGTGGSTAATTTGCATRATACTTTAAAAGGCACATTGTCGTATGAGCACTGAAGAAAAGAATGTCTTAACTTCGCGATTCTGGAATCAGCCCCCCATGAGATGAGTTAATGTTTTTTGAAGGCGAGACACCTATGAAAAATTTTCCTTCATGATGATATATTTCTTTCAATAGTATAAAGTTTCCAGAAAGTTGTACACTAAATTGTACTTGAATACCTTTAACCGGTAAGCACTAGACGTGTATAATTACTTTGAAAAGAAATTTGAGACAACAAACTTATTGCAAAATAACCAAAGAGATTGTAATCTGGAATATTGACACTTTTAAGAGTGATCATCCTAAACTAAATCATGATCATGTTGTCTTTTAACAAGGCTACGCACTAACCAGAAACCATAAAGGCGTTATTGTTATTATATTGTTATTATATATTATTATATATATATACGACAGTGAGAAACTTTATATTAGCAAAGAAGAAATACATTTATTTATCGTAACAAAACGTAATTCTTCACCACCCCTCCCCTCCCCCTCGCCCCTATATGTAAGGTAACGTAACAATCACCACCCCTCCCCTCCCCCTCGCCCCTATATGTAATGTGCCCCTATATGTAACGTGCCCCTATATGTAAGGTAACGTTACCAACCCCGGTCGATTTTTATGGTATAAAAAATTTGAATCTGACACTTATTTTTTTGTAATAAATGATTTTGAATTATACTGAAAACGTCTGTTTTCCCCCCTTGTCTATTTATAAAAGACGTTGCAATAAGGGTTCACAACAGAATAGCATTCGGGACAAGATTTTCCATGTGAGAGTAATACAAATGCAGCAAAACCGCCTATACTAGAGTGAAGTCATGCAACACATCAAACACCGATCACACGGTGGCAATTAAGCTACCAGGCAGCACTTTCATACCTTTTAGGTAAACTAGTAATTAAAATTATTTAGTTTTGAATGATCTGTATGTATATTGATTTTATACTTCAGAGTACACATTGAGATAGATAAACGATACCATGGTGATAACGAAAGGTGCGCGTTTATCTACGCTGTAACCGCTGTTCATTATACATTGTCATTATTGCTCATTATAGTCTACAGTCAGCCTCGACGACGTGCAATTCATACATCTATTAGTAGTCCACGTAGTCCTTCGTTCTCCCTTTATATTTGTAAACTTTTAGTTTGTCAGCTATACCAGGTGAAATACCATGGTCTTAGGATTTCGAGTTACTTTCCCCCTCCTAGGAGGAATCTTTCAAATGCTCATTATCGTCTTGTTCGCTTTACTTGTGGATTACGGCGATCATGCAGTGAGCCCACATCGACGCATTGGAGAGGCAAAGAATCAAACCCAAGAAAACCATAAAGTCAACGATGTTGCCATTTACTATCCAAGTAAGAACTGCATTGACGGTGACCCCGGAATTATTCTGACTTGTTGTTTAGCCTTCCCTTTGCTTATAATGCCTTCTTGTATAAATAGCGACTAATTAATTATGCACAATCTGATCATAGTTTCTTTTTACAACTCAATATTCGTAATTTGGTCTAAAGAATAGAACATCTTGACTAATTTTTTGTAATGTGTTTTGCAAATTAACACTTTTAATAGCAGACTCGACACGTTTTAAGTGATCTCAGATAACCGGTGCCATTGTTCTACAGTTCACTGCACACGTACAGACGCAGTTATCTGTACATGCAAATTTACCGAATATCGCGCTAAAATTTTTCTATTATGTGCTTTCTACAGTTAATTCACGTCACCTCCTGGGGCACGGTATTTACTCGTCCCAGTGCGGACTCTTAACAAAGAGTCACTACAACTGTTTTGCATTTTTGTTTCAGTGTTTATGGACATCCACGTGTTGGTTTTTATGGCTTTTGGGTTTTTGCTTTCATTTCTAAAGAGATTTAGCTATGGTGGTGTAGCATTCACGTTTTTTGGTGGTGCCTTGGCAGCTCAATGGGGCATACTGATGACAGGCATCTTTAATGAATTGATTTGGGGGCATCCGCATATTGAACTCAGCATCAAGTCGTAAGTATTGAGTCAAAGTAAACGCTCTAAGAGCGCTTACTAGGACTGCAGCACAAGGAAGTCACGCGATAAATGTCGACGACACATTCCGCGATTTAACATGAAAAATCGAAAATGTTGGCTATTTAACCAGCTTTGATTTGCAGTGAACTAAGAGAAGTTGCATATTTTCTCACGGTAACATGACATGTAACGTCCATCATTAGAGGCGATTTCGTATGATTTCAATTTCGTATACAGTTCACATTGACGAAGTTGTCGAGACTCTTTTGCTCAATATTTATTGTGGTCAGTGCTTTATTTTGAGTAATGTAGACAATGTACAGAAGGAAGTGTTCCGATCGGGGATCTTCACTTCAGTGAGTGCAAAGCAATTCATGTTTTTAAATGAACACCGAACTCTAAAATGTGCTATCTGAATGAGATAATATGAACAACTATCGCTTTATCTTATTATATCAGATTAACCTCTGCCGATGTCTCAGCAGTTGTGATGCTGATAGCCTATTGCGGTTCTATTGGTTATTGTAGTCATGTGCAGCTGATCGTCATATCATTTTTCGCGCCAATCTTCTTCGCGGTCAATGAAATGGTGGTGTTCAAGTTATTGCAGGTAAAATATTTTCTAATATTTCCGTGATGGTGTGGACGCTGCTGACGGGAAATCCGGCGATAACCCTTTATGAAATAAAGCTCTTTTTTACCCTCTCTACTTTTCGTAGCCATACAGCTTCACTGCTGGCGTTTCCAAACTGCTTCCCACCGGGCAAGGGAAACGGCTTGTCTGCTCGCCTACTGCAATTGTTGCTGTACGCGAACGTTACGGTGTAATGTCCATTATTTTATTTAATTAGGCTTCAGATTCTGGAGGTTCCATGTTTGTTCATGCGTTTGGCTGCTATTATGGTCTAGCCTTCTGCAGAATGTTGTACCGAAAGGAAACAACTGAGAGTAGCAAAGTTGAAGCAAGCTACACATCCGACGTCTTTGCTTTGCTTGGTAAGTTTTTTGTCTTTCCTATATCTTTGCTTATTTACCCAGTTATATGTCTTCATTCTTCGGGGTTTTTCGTTGTTGATTTGCTCTGTGTTCCTTCTACTTGCTATTTGATTGCTTACGGTTTTTTTGTCCAGAGACGGCGGAGAATCACTTTTTGTGTTGACCATAGGGGTTGGATGGTTGGGCAATGAGGAGCGCTCCGCCGTCCTTGCTGTTTTTTGTTTGTCAAGACATTAGATAGTGTTCTTCCTGTCTGTACCAGGTCTCTCTAAATGTCAATTTATTAGGGTCTATCCTATTGTGGTGTTATTGGCCAAGCTTTAATAGCGTGTTTGGTGCACCTGACTATGTTACACAACATCGTACCGTGATAAATACATACCTTGGTCTTGCTGCGAGTGCTGTAGTTGTTTACTTGACATCAGCCGCCTTGGATAGGAACGCTCGCATCACCTTGGTAAGATGACCCATTCCCCTCTACTTCCGCTTCTTTAAGTTGTCCGATGCATTAATGAATGAATTTTGACAAGGTTCGTTGAAAGGTTTTTGAGGATGGGAATTTTCGAGGTTTTTAGTCATCTTTTCAAAGTTTAAGTTTAGTAGTCTCAGTAAATGCCGCCCTTTCTGCAGAAGCGTAATGTCCGTAAAAAGTGTTTTTTTTTCGGGTTCCAGATCATCTTCAAATTCTTTCATCGACCTTTCTCGATTTCAAAAGGGAGAGTGCTAATTCTCAGAGTCCCCCAGAGTGTTTGTCACACAATTTTGAGCCAAGAGTCTAAAAATATCGAGTATACAGGCCGATCACTGATGTACGTATATCTGATATACAGAAGGTTTTCATACAAACACAGAAGCTTAATTAATAAGTACAAATACACATTGACGAGTGACGCTATTAAGATACCACAACAATTCAGTAGGCTCTCAGAACTAATCACATGATTTAATGGTCAGTTGGGAAGTATAGGGTAAGCAATATGTAGTGTCCGGTACAAACCTTTATAGTGAAATTTTATAGGTAAATTCATTGGGTGACGAGTGAATTCAACGCGGAATTCACGAGTCATCCAATGAATTTACCTTGAATCTCATGCCTCAATTTTAAGGGAGAAAAAAATTATAAAAACAATAACAAAAAAAGGTTAGAAATGAGCGTGCGTTTGCAAAATTGAAGCGATCGCTCGTGAGTTCAGTGCGAGAATTTCATTTTCAGTTGTTGTTTTTTTNGAAACTCGTCGAAGTCAGTAGTAGCCCTGACTTGCCAAGCAGACTTCAAAACCTACTTCATGTTTACTTGTGAAAGAAAGCGTACTAGTAGTAGACATTCTCAATCAAAAAGTAGCTGAAAAACTCAAACACAGAAACATTTCATAAATTCATCCCATAACTTGTTCTGGCATGGAATATTCAAGAAAAAATGACAAGCGAAACAGCTTTAGTTTTCTGCAAGAAACGGCGTGCAAGAAACGGCGAAGGCCGCTCAATTTTTGTTTACGTAGATGAACTGATCTTGACAAACTTTAAAATGTATTACACTACCATGCAGGTATTTAATAAATAGTATTTTAATAATTAATTGTGACGTTATATTTATGAGTTTTGGGGTATTTTTTCGTTTGAAAACGTTGCTTTTATCGAGTTAAACTTAACTAACTTAAATGTGTTTTTGTTTTTGCTACTTAATTTGCAAAAAATAAAAATATTTTGCTTCTTGAAATCTAGAGAAAGTGAATAGACAAGTTGTTGGGAACTAAAACAATTAGATAATAACTTTTGCCAGGGTTTTACACGGATTTTGTGAGCAAATTGTTGAAATAACGCAAGTGTTTTGAAGGTAGCTTATCGGGGCGTTGAATCTGCTCGGCCTGCAAAGCGATCTGCTCGGCCTGCAAAGACCCTTGGGTAAGAATTATGCGGCAAATATTTTGTCTTCCAGTTTAGAGCCATAAAAGCAAAGAAAGTAAAGAAAAAGGTTTAGCAAATATTTTTGATATATCTATATATTTATTATAATACATTACAGCCTTTTGCAAAAATTATGAGAATTGTCGAAATATCTAAATATCATAATATCGAGTGCATGATGGGTAATCCCGAGCGAAAATTATGAGAATTGTCGAAATATCTAAATATCATAATATCGAGTGCATGATCCCGCGCGATGCCCTTAGTCCCTTGTCTTTGTAGTTTAGTTTTTTTTTGGCGACAGACTTATCCGTAGTTCTGGACATTTTCTCGATGTCAACAATGAATTATTCTAGCAACCGGCGTGTTCCGGACAATATATGGATATGGATATTATGATATTTAGATATTTAGACAATTCTCATAATTTTTGCAAAAGGCTGTATATTAATAATATATTGATATATTATTGATATAGTTTTTTACGTCTTATTCACAACAAAAACAACAAAATGTGTGAATTTTGTGTGTGATAACCACAGGCGGCCCATTGAATGCTCTAGATAAACTGATGAAGATAAAAAGCTAATAAAAATACAAAAGCGCGCGCGTTTCTTTAGTACGTGCAGCGACCACTCATAATAATGCGGATGAAAACTGGTTTAGATTAACTTATGAGATTTATAGTTGTATCGTTTTTCATACCTTAGGCTCACATTCAGAACGCTACGTTGGCTGGAGGGGTCGCTGTTGGGACTGGATCAAGTATGATGATGACGCCATGGGGAGCACTGCTGGTTGGAAGTATTGGGGGCGCAATAAGCACTTTTGGATTCAAATATGTATCGGTAAAAATAAAACTATTAGACATTGGTATTTTTAGATGATTGACATTGATAATCCATTGATGTGTTAATTTTAGCCAATCATGACTCGAGTTTTCAAAACTAATGATGTGGCAGGAATTCACAATCTGCATGGAATGCCGGGACTGCTTGGCGGAATTGCGGGAGCAATCATAGCATCACAAGCTGAGCCGGAAATGTATGGATACGAAGGGTACGTATGTAAGCAGCGTAACGGTGCGATAGAGGGATGACACGAGAGGACTTTAAGGTACTTTAAGGCCGTTGCACAAAGTAACGAATTAATGCAACTTGCTTAGATTTTGTTTCATGAATTTACAGCGTCTCTATGTTAAATAACTGTGAGAAAAGGTAAATTCCAAACTCCGTTAACCAAGGTATTCACAGACTAACCTATTGATTCTCGACTTTGAAAGTAACGAAGGCTTGTATATGATACAAAATACATGCGTGTAGATTTGTTAGGGATTCTTGTACGACTTCTTCCGTCATGAATTTTTTTTTAAAGATATAACTTGTGGGCAGTTTGTAGATAGATACTTTAATGCAAATAAACTTGTAGCCATAGGGCTGAATTATGTTATAGTTTACAAAAACAAAAAAGAATTTAAAATCATCATAAAATCTTTTATGTTAAAATATATATTATACACATGGACACATGGATTGTTAAATATTGAAAGTCAAACTATTGGCATTTATAAAACTATTTTTAGAACGATTAGTTTTGAACTTTGGCTGAAAGATGTGTTTCCTTCTTAAGCATAATTATTTTTTGTTTTGTTCTGGTAGATGGTGTACGTTGTGATTATTATCAGCGACAATTTCATTGAATAAGTTTTCCGTCAGTTATTGACGTCTAAATTCCAGAGTTGGTAGGCCTGACTCTGCTAGTGCTTGTGGGTAAGGAATTCTAGGATAAATTATACGCAAGGCTCGTTTCTGTAGTCTTTCAAGGTCTTCACATAGGTATTTTGGAAGAGCATTGTGAAAAACCTGGCATGCATATTCAGTCACTGGGCGAATGCAAGTATATAATATAAAATAGCAGTAGGTCTTTCGAATCCAAGTTAGATCGTTTTAGTTGTCGTAGGAAGTACAATCTTGTTGAGACTTTGCAGATGATTTCGTGAACATGAGCATTCCATTTTAGATCGTTACTTATGGTAATGCCAAGTAATTTTGCATTTTCAACGTTATTGATGTAGGAATTGTTAGCAATGATATCTTACACGTCCAAGGTATTTGAATATATAGCTCTGAATATTGTTTTGACATTACAACATGATTTTTCTTATAATTCAGATTGTATAATGTGTTTGGAGCTCGGGCACCAGCCTTTAATACTACTGAATACTATGAACTAAAAGCAAGAGGTGTGAATTTCAGCCCTGGCGAAGGACGTACAGCAAAACGACAAGCTCTTTTTCAGCTTGCTGCTCTTGGTTGCTCTATGGGGATTTCTGTATTTGGAGGAGTATTGACTGGTAAGTAAATATATTCATCTTTTGTCAAAAACAATTCTCAAAATGAATGAGTCAGGGAGGCATAATGAAGAAAAAAAAACAATTCTATATAAATTCGGAATAAATTATGTATATGTCAATCATTTTCTAGGTTTAGTCGCTCGTATGAAAATCTTTATGCCCCCGAAGAAGCATCAGCTGTATGATGATGCTGACTACTTTGAGGTACGTTTCTCTGTGGGAGATTTCAATATTGATCTCTGCGTGATGTGATTTGACCAAATGACTGATCGTTATCTCTTTGAGAGTCGGGTGGGAAGGTCAAATTGAAAAAGTAATGTATTAGCTCATTACCCTTACTTAAAGGCCCACGCCCACCCAAGAACCTTTGCGCCCTTTTTTTTGTCTGTTTTACAAATGATATCTTGTTGAAAGGTACTCAAATGTGTTCAAAATCAAATATGGCGAATATTCGTATTTTGAAAAATTCGCAAAAAGGTTCCTGGATGCACATGGGTCTTTAAATACAGGTTGAGGGTAGTTTCAAGGGCTCAGCTCTATGTGACCGAGTGCGAGCAATACGAGTATATTTCCCAACTGAAGAATTCACTTCCGCCAGACACACTAAACGTTAGTATTTTCTATGACTTTGAAGTGAACACTCTATTAAAGCAGCATATTCAACCCGCGGCAAGACAACTTACGCGAGCTTAAGTGTTTAAACTTAAAAGAGTTGTTTTTGCATCAGATTCCTGAAGGCAAAGACGCCTATTACACCTTAGAACACGTCGAGACTACACTTGATAGTTTGCAAGTAAGGGTTGAACAACCTAAGAAAGAGGAACAAGAACAGCTTATGAAAGACAAGTAAAAGCACCATGAAAGAGACCGCTATGAATTATCTCTTAGGCTTTCTATTTCGATCTGTTTTAATAAAATAAAATAAAACGTTTTTCATGATTAATATTGCTATGGGATGTAATTGATAGGAGAGCCCAACGCCACGATTTCAAACAGCCGGCCAAAATGTTGAAATGTAGTCTCCTTCGTAGTCTACTTTTGCCCTCTTTTGGGAGGGACAGGAAGCCCGTCAAAAAGCGAGGCTGCGAAGGAGACTAGTTCCAACGCTGTAACAAAACTTTCTGGTTTGAGCACTTATTTTCTTAAGTGTGTGTGTGTGTGTGTGTGCGGTGTGAAAATCTGACTTTTTGGTTACTTCATCATTACTTTGATAGAAGTACCTGCATGTGGTTAGCGCAACTCAACTGGGTAATGGCTTTGACGCACCCTCCATATTTGATCGCGAAATGCATCTCACCAATATTATCAATGTCCAAGAAATTTACTAGCGAAAAACTAGATATGATTTATTTGACAACACATTTCTTGCGCAAAGAACTTACTGAAAACAAGAGAAACCATGAGAAAAGGTCGTTCTTACAATAGCCTTGAAAATTTGCATTTCCCCGTGTTAAGACTAAACCCTGTATTCCCTGAATATTCCCTAAGGTTTAAGCCTTTTGTTTGGGAATACAGGGTAAGCCTCAACTCGGGATAAATATAATTTCTTAGCGCTATTGTATTAACAACATTTTCTCGTGCTTTGTTTTGTGTTTGGTAAGGTCTTTGCTCTGGTCTTTGCTTAAGAGAATCTGCTGTAATAAATCAGCGGTTATTCGCTTTGAATTCGAAAATAGAGTATTTAAATGAACAATTGTTCGCGCATGTATTATGATTACTGATATTATTGAAATTCTTTCTAGCCTAGCTTGTTTTATCATAGGAGCAATGCCAATAATGAACGTTTAAATGAACTTTGAACTAGATTTTTTTTAATCTTGAATTATTTATCTGAATACAGTAACTTTTAAGTTTTAAGTTTATTAAAATAAACTGTCAAAAAATCAAATCAACAAAAAAAAAACAAGCAAAATTGTGCCAAATTATAAATTAAAAACTATGTGAGCGTGCGTTGCCTTTTCAATACAATACGTATGGGAACTACCGAAAACGAGAAACCGTGAGAAAAGAGAAGAGAGGTCGTTCTTACAATAGCCTTGAAAATTTGCATTTCCCCGTGTTACTGTGAATTCAGATAAACAAGTAACGACTAAAAAAACTCTAGTTCAAAGTCCGTTTAAACGTTCGTTCTTGGCATTGGGCTCCTACGATAAACAAGCTAGGCTAGAAAGAAATAGGATTTTGATAATATTAATATTTTGAAATAAGTCAGTTATTCAACAATGTGGCTTTGATTGTAATATTAAGAGTGAAAACTGATGCAAAGAAGTTATCGAAATGATTCATAACTTATTTGCGTTAGTTTTCACTCTTAATATTCAACTAATCCCGCCAATTAAAGGAAACCTTTGTAGTGTAACCAATTACACCAAGCATATGTAATAGTTGCTAGTCTATCAAACTTTAATCATCTAAAGTTCTAGTCCATAGTTGGCTCATCGGTTACTCACGGCACTAGAAACATTGACTAGATGGCGCGGCCAATTTAGTAAAGGATCAAATGTGAAAGATTTTTTTTTTTGTGAGGATTTTGGAGCCAATTAACATCCACCACAAACCACATTTATACGATAGACACAAAAATAATGAACAAATACACGACACCCTCTTTATGAATTCTTATTTTACTTTGAGCTTGCTCTCCCCATAATGCATTGCAATTAAAGATCACCCTAACTTTCATAATAAATGTCATGTTATTTACGCAGTTTTTGAGTTTTTTTCTTTCTTTTTCTTTCCGCGTCCATCTTTCTAATATATAGTATTTATTAACGCTTTTTTCTTGCGTTCTGAATGAAAATCAATGCCATCAAAAAGGGGAAACTTGACGTATTTACCTCTTATCAAAATGGTCGCCTTATCGTGAAAGTGGTTCATATAATCATGTGAAACAGACGAGTCTCCCTCAGTCTAATTCAGCTAGTATCAAGCAGTAGTCGTATTTGGTTAAACAGCAATGAAAAGATTATCACAGAAATTTTTGGACATTTAACCTTCCAGCGTTAGCATAGTATTTCCGTGCAGCCAGTGTTCGCAGACATGTGAGCTCTGCGAGGCATTTAATGAGCCACAGGCTTCTAAAGAAACACGTGATACTAAGTGATTTGAGGCCATTCAAAATGTTTCGATACATTTAAAAAAAACAAGAAATATTCAAATATGAATTGATATATGATGAAATGACAAAAACCTACTTGTATCGTGAAATAAATCAGAAGTTCATCACACTTAAAGGTGAAGTGGACTTCGAGCACATAGTCCGTGCGTAGTGTCCATTGACCTCAACGTGATTTAATTTCATTACAAATCCAGTGTGTTTAACGCACACTGTATTCATTACGTGTCGCGTGACAATTGTTAATACCATAAATATGGTTCATGTGCTCGGCAATCATAACAACACGCGCAGCCATGGTTGAAGTCAAGTTCTCGATAGCAGTCATAGTATTTCAAACTGCACTGATTGTTCTTTTCGGTGTGCTGGTCGACTATGGGGATTACGCTCTACCACCACACAAGCGAAATGGTGCCAATGGCAGCTACTCCAAAACTTTGGTGGATGAATCTAAGAATGATATCTCGGTATTTTACTCGTGTAAGTTAATTATAGTTTTGTTTAACCATCACCATGCATACCCTCAACTGCGAAAGCCATTTTTTGTTAGTTCCTTGTTTTGGTCAAATTTATGGCAAGTTTGTGCACTGAAAATGTGAGTAATGTTTAGATGGCTGTAAAGGTCAATGGGTGGTAAGAAAAACCCGATGTAGATCTTGCATTTAAATTTTAATCCCGTTCCGCGTCTTCTCTGGAGTCTGAAGCTGTAGAAAACAATAGAAAAGAGGGCGTGGATAGTTTATAAAGTATACCATTAGATCTGTTTAGCGACATTTCATCGTTTTTCGTTTGTTTCTTTGTTTTTTTTTTCATGTTATCTTGTTTTTGTCCTATCAATGACTTGATGTTAGAATATGTGTATGTTAATTGGTTCATCTTTACCCTAGGTAAAATAGTTTGGAATTTACCCTTTCTCATAAATAAGAAGTAGTTTACTGTTTGCGGTCTCAAAATTAACCTCACTTGGTGCCGTAAATAAACTATGCGAAAGTGTAAAGTCCAAACTCTCATTGAAAGGGTAATTATCATATCGGACAACATGGAATGTATCATGTCGCCAAGTCAAATACCATTATTGCAGAAGCATGCGGTGCAAGAATTTCATTGAGCCAGTAACATATATACCACACCCTGAAGACATGCCGCTCATTCATACGCTAAAAAACGAGATATTTCAAAGGTCGTATATTTATATGTCGTATATTTTTGCGTTTCCCAGTCTATATTATCCTAGAAAGTTGTGTTATTTTCTACTGCGGCATTTTTTCACAAGGTTGAAACCATGTCTATTTCGGAAATGTTATAAACCGAGTACAAAATACAAATCATTAATCAGAATTGAAAACCATGATCGAATGTGGTATTAATGTACATAAAACAAAATCTAAATACTACGAGATCCAAAACAAAATAAGGCATAGGAAGCCCAATCTATAAAATAAAGGCGGGGAATTTATAAGAATTCAATGTTTTTTGCTCTGTTTCGCGAAGAAAATAAATTCTAACGTTAGCCTTAATGGAATGTTTATTGTAATTTTCATTATTCTGGCAGATGACTATGAAATTCCAGTACAAGCGGGCTTAGCCTCGAATCTGTTAAAATTGATTGGTTATTTTAAGTGTTTTCTGTCCTAGAAACGAGTCTATTCCCGCCTGTACTGGTATTTTAAGAATTGTAATATGAAGAGAAATATTTCCCATACGAGCTTGACAAGGGTTAGTAATTGTAATATGTAGAGAAATATTCCCCATACGAGCTTGACAAGGGTTAGTAATTGTAATATGTAGAGGGGGGCTCAAAGTAAGCTTTACTGAGCTTCACTCATTGTAATCAAATGTATATGGACCTTCGGACTGACCAGCTGCGTAACAAATAGCTCAAGAACCACAGCTTCAAGTTAATTGGGAGTCCAAAGTCCGTGTACCACTAGCCCACTCGCATTGTGTAGCGTATAATGTACAACTGTATCGTATTGCGAAGCATTATGTTAATGCTGTGAACGAAGTGAACACCGACACTAATCCTGCAGGCCTTTTGGGGTCCCTGTGCCATACATACTGAAATTCGTGGGCTAGCGATAGACACTTCGAGCGCCTAACATTACATAACCAACGGTTATTATCAAATGATGCGCCGTAAACTGCATGGTCTTTCTATTGCTTTTCGATCTCTTGCAAAGGACCCTTGCAAAGACAAGTTCGACAAGTATTTAGCATGTTAAATGCGACTGAATTTATTCGAGAAAATATTCATCAAGGTGATAATCGTTTTAGCGACATTTCTAGAGGAAGACAATGTGCTTTTATGAGTCTTTTGAACAGCTTTGTTATCTGCACATTGTSMTGATATTTCGACGTGGACGACAGATACGATGGATTGTGTTTTGGCCGAAGGAGATCTTTTTAACAGCATTCGAAAAGCGCTCTATACCTGATGAAGAGACTATTTCTCTTGTCTTGGTCTCCGATGACATAACTTTCATCGCACATTTAGGCAAACCTGCGAAACCAATCGCCCGACGAGGCAAACAAACCAAATCAAATCATTCGCCCGGCTAGGCAAACAAATCAAAACAATCGCCCGAAAATAAATTAAAAATTAAAAAAATACAGTCTGTAATAAAGTGTACATATACGTTCTAATCTTCTTTTTTTTGTCATGTATTCTCCCTCCATAAAATCAAATAAACCTAAAACCAATTTGAACAAGCATCACAGAATTTACATACCGCAGCACTTCACTTTCGATAGGAACCGCTTGGTTATACATGTAAACAGGTTATTACACATTAAAGGCAACCTAGGGGCATGGAGAAGCACATGAAAGACATGCAAAAACATTTAACACTTATTTACTGGAACCGAGGGAAACAGTATGTTTTGTGGTCCCGAGACCGCTGATGTTTCCCGAAGCGAAGCTGAGAGAAACATCAGCGGTCGAGGGACCGCAAAACATACTGTTTCCCGAGGTTTCCAGTAAATAAGTGCTTTATTATCATATCAAGTGTCAAAGAGAGCAAAAAACGTAAATAAATGAAGTGTTTTTATTAAAGATTTTGATAAAATGACTGAAAAATGGCAATACAAATAATAGTCAAATAAAAAAAAAAATAAAAAAAAATAAAATAAAAATACAAATAGTCAAATGTCACTAAAATCAATCAATGTAATAACACAATGAATACAATAACTATTTGTAGACGAAATTAAATGTTTCAAAACAATTTTGGAATTCACCGTCCGTAAATGTGGCATTTTCACGACACTGAAGAGTGTTTTTCTGCGATTTTGTACTTATTGACGGTCCACAACATATTATTGACCGCTGGTGGACAGTTGCCGGGAAACAGTAAAATTTTGTGACTTTCACATGGTACACTCTCGACCAATAAGATACTAGGAAAAGTGAACTTTGACACTTGATAAATATAATAAATTACTATATTTACGGGAATAGTAACCTGCTTAACCCCAAGGCCATACATGTTACATTACTGCTAGTCTGTGTTGCTTGTCAAAACTCTACATTACAGGAATTGCCGATCCTTCTATTTCACATTCATGCACCTTTTGTTGTCAATTTTATTGAGCAATCCGAGAAACAGCTGTTTCTTTATGGTCAACTATCTAAAGCACGTGCTTATTTGGACTGAGCATACAAAGAATTGTGGGTAATATGACGTTTTTGTTTTCGAACCGATTTCCGAACCGATTTCATTCTTCAAGTCGAAACTTGCCAAAAAACCACGTAGTACGAATATATCTGTCCCGAGTTTTCAAGCTTGGGCCTTAAGTTACTATGAGGAGAAAACAGGGTTAAAATCGCTAATAATAAAAGCGCCTTATGAAACTACAAAAACATAAAAAGTATTAATTTATGAAGATATAGAGGATATTACATGGGCGAGCGGAGGTACGGATTTTATCTTCGAGTGTTGAAAAGATCTCTTACGAGTGAGAAGATAAAATTTGCATCTCCAAGCGACCATGTAATATTCTGTTTATATCATATGATTAAATATGAAAGCAAATTATGTCATAAAATACCTTTTTTCTTACTTCCACTATATAGAGAAACCTCGAATGTGTTATTTTCACTAGTGAAAATATCAATTTTACGAAATGGAGAAATATAGGTATTTCATAGATAATCATATGATAAACATGATATAGAAATGAAAGAAAGTTATAGTGCTTAGAAGGAGGCAATTCCGGGGAGAAGTCCCTTAGGAATAAATTCGGAAAAATTAATATGATAAACAGTTTATTTTAGTGATGGTCGGGCTCAGTAGCCGCGCTCCCTCCTGATTGTTAATGAGAATAACACATAATAACAATACAATACATACAATACATACAATACATACAATAGAATACATACAATACAATACATACAATACATACAATACAATACACACAATACATACAATACATACAATACAATACATACAATACATACAATACATACAATACATACAATACAATACATACAATACAATACGATACGATACGATACGATACGATACGATAAGATACGATACGATACGATACGATACATACAACAATAACACACAAAATAATTGAAGACGAGGCTGCGGGGAGTTTTTCTTAAGCATCGTCCTCAGTTCATTCATAATTGTACATGATGTGAGCATTCTAGAATATCGATTGTGTCGTTGATCTACTTTGCCTTAGTGTTTCAAGATGTCCATGTGATGATCTACATTGGCTTTGGTTTTCTGATGACATTCTTAAGGAAGTACGGCTACAGTGCTGTTGGTTACAACTTCTTTATTGCTGCCCTTGTCTGCCAGTGGGCTACCATCTTGTCCGGTGTGTTTAATCAAATTATCGGAGAAGGAGCAAAAAGCATCAGAATCGACGTAAAAACGTAAGAATGAAATCTTATACCATTTACTGACTCAAGTGATATGAAGCCATTTCAAGTGCAAAAAAATCAACAGGACCATTTGTCAACCAGCATTCAATGCGGTCGTATTTTAGATTTTTCATATATAGCAAAGGAAGTGAGCCATAATGCGTCACTTTTTACGTAACCACAGTCCTTTGCAAAATACATAAACATATATATGGCGAGTTCCCGGACATTCTGCTTTCTCCTTGTTTCGTCGTTGTGAAGATCGGCTACGCATTTGCTAAGCTTAACAACGACATTGTCTTTCTTTGAGAACTCTTTCTATGTCCGCGTTGAGGTCAACAGGAAATTTTTAGAGAGTTTTAGATTCACTACTGTCAACGCCAAACTTCAAATTGGCTTTTATGCTTTGTCAAAAAAATTCAAACAAACGTAAAAACGCTTCGAAAGGAATGCACGGAAAAGTGATCTATTTTATACACAATCGCGAAAGAACGGAGCGTTAATACAGAAAAACAGTGATCACGTGATCAGTTTTGACGTTTGGGGTTCGCCGTAAACGCGTATCTAAAACTCTCTAATGTCGGGTGTTCGTTTGGGTAAAAATATGGTGAAAATAAAATGAAATATAATAAAATAAATAAAAAATGGATAAAGGGATGCCTATTAACCATATATATATTCGTGTGTTTTTTATTTTCTTCCAACAGACTTATTTCAGCAGAATTCACAGCTGGTGCGGTACTTATCACATTCGGTGCAGTTCTTGGTAAAGTCAGCCGTCTCCAGCTTCTCGTTATTGGTTTCTTTGAGGTCTTTTTCTATGCTATCAATGAGTATCTCAATGTGCACTATCTTAAGATCGCTGATGCTGGTGGCTCAATGATAATACATGCTTTTGGTGCGTACTTTGGTTTAGCGGTAGCGCGTATTATTTACAGGACCATTCACAGTTGTAATGGTAAAGAAGAATCTGTCTATCATTCTGACATGTTTGCCATGATCGGTGAGTATATGAAGTTGTATTCGACCCCAATTTGATTTTTCACAAAAAGAAGCCGAAAAAAACTACGTTTTAGGATACGGCGCCGCGATCACGCTTGCCCGATGAATTAGAGTTTTATAGTCTGGACCATTAATTATGTCTGGACCTCTATTGAACTGTTACATTGGTTGAATAGCTTATTTGGTGGCTAATTTCGGATGATAGTTTGCCTTTAAAATTCGTTATAATTTATTGTGTGTTAGGTTAATCAATAGCTTGATCCTATAATTTAATTCATCATAGGAACTCTGTTCTTGTGGATGTTTTGGCCAAGTTTTAACGGAATTCTCGTCGCCCCTGACTACATAGCACAGCATCGTGCCGTCATCAACACTTACTATTCTCTAGCTGCTTCTTGTGTAGTAACCTTTGCCATCTCACCATTTTTTCAGAAAGGGAATAAACTTAACATGGTAATTTTAAAGTATGATTGATCAAAACCTACGAACCTCAGCTAATCTTTTTCTTTTTCTTCATTGCAGGTACATATTCAAAATGCTACTCTTGCAGGTGGTGTTGCCATGGGAACTGTTTGCAATATGGTTCTGTATCCGTTCGGTGCAGTAATCGTCGGGTCATTAGCAGGAGTTATAAGTACACTCGGCTACGCCTATCTTACAGTAAGTAGCCTTGTCGTTAATACCCTTATAAGGAAATGCTAACATCGTCTTTTACCCAGGCCTTCTTTGACAACCACTTAAACATCCACGACACATGCGGTGTAAATAACTTGCATGGTATGCCGGGAATTATTGGGGGCATTGTTGGAGCTATTACAACAGCCAATGCCAATGAAGATACTTATGGATACAAAGGGTGTGTAGCGTTGAATTGAATTGTATTCTTCCCGGCCTTATCCCTTCGCTTGGGTCAAGGGATAAAAGCCTGGGAACGAGATTGTGTCGTGTTGTGTTGCCATGTAAATATGCGTTTTGGGGCAATTTTTGGGCATAATCACTAAAATTTTGAACAAAAGTATCTTGTGTTTTCATTTCCCATCATTTTTTCACATGAGAAATTTGTATACAGACTTTTCAACATCTGGGGCGCTATGGCACCAAAAGCCAACTCTACTGAATTTGCTCGACTTCAGAGTCTTGGAATTCCTGACCTAGAGCCTGGTGATGGATACACTGCCAACCAAATGGCCGGCTACCAAGTTGCTGCTATCTTTGTTACTCTTGGTGTGTCGTTGATTGGCGGAGTTATCACTGGTACGTGACTCTCGTAGCTTGTCTTTTATTAAAAACATACCAAAGCTAGATCGCTGTTCATGACATTAATAGCTGGTGCTAATACAATTTTGTCGCCAAATTAAAGGGTTTGTAGCCAAGCTTGGAATTTTTGATCCTCCTGAAGAAAACCAGTTGTTTGATGACGAGGATTTCTGGGAGGTAAGAGAAGCCATGTCATCTCAAATTACACTTGCACCGTGAATCTTTGATTCAAGTTGTTACCGTGAATCTTTGATTTAAGTTGTTACCGTTTTTTGGTTTTAATCTATTCACGAGTCGTGTTCGATTCACAAGCATATCAACGTGTTAGTCTAAAATACTGTTGAAACAAATAGCTGGAAATATATATAAGATATGTAATCCAGTGAAAACAAAAGACAAAAAGTGTCATTGTTCTTTTAAAAAAGACAGTCTTGAGGGCTGGAGCTCGACATTACCCTCGACATATAAAACCGGACACTCTCGACGTAATATCCTCGACCTTCGACCAAAAGACAGAAGTTTTACCTATAAGAGGTCACAACAGGCCGAAGTCACTGATGAAAAATGGACCATGAAAAATGGGCCAAGAATTGACAGACTTGGAACTACAGCGCACGTGTGATTAATGTGTACCCATCTTTAATGATGCGATGCTTCAATCAGTGTTTCTCACTTTCCCCTGCCCTCATTTTGGACTCATTCAGTGCACATCAATGCTTTGGAGTCATTTTTAATTGTTAAAGCATTACGACGTTGGACCTCTGTTTCCAGATTACTTGCTACAGCGAAGCAGTCGTTACCATAGTAACAAATTTGGAACGATCTCGTGATCCTATGGTTTGCGTCGGCTAAGTTTAATTTTACATATTCCTGAATCTCACAACCAGCTTGCCAAGTGGTTGAGGCGTTAGGAATCTGATCCACCAATACCTGCCGTGGATACATTAGCAACCAGAAAACAAGATATCTAGTAAAGTTCAACGATCAGTAAGTCACAGCTTTCATCTGTTTTTTTGACAGCTACCCAACGCATCACAGCTGCCCCAGTTCCAAGGACAAATAGACCAAGAATCAGGACATTCCATCAATTCCATCAAGAGTGATTAATGATTTCTGCTGCTTACGGTACACGAAATAACGTCACCTCAAAAGTTATTGTTCATTTTGGAACATAGCGTATTATTACTTTTTTTACTTTTTTTACACAGTGCTTATGGCACTACTATTTGGAACTAACGGGATCGATCTTTAGTGCACGCTTTCGCAACTGCGTTCATTTTTAGATCTAAAAATCTACGCATGTTGCAAGCCACGCATCAAATGCGCAATGTGTTGGAAAAAAGTGATTGAACTCCTTTTCGGTGTTATTTTTTGGGACATTGTTCGTCTGAAGTCATCTAAAAAATTTCAAAAATTACAGAGATGGAAAAAATCAAACAGCAATCAGCCATATTTTCATTAACCTATCCCTATCTCAAGAACCAGCATTTTCAGATAATTTTAATCGTAATCGTTTTTTATTTAAATTTGTTGATAAAACTAGCAATTCTTATTACTTACGGCATAAAACAATCCAAATTTGGGTAGATGGAGAATTAAATGCTTGAACTCAAACTACAAGGAAAATAAAATGGCGGATGATTTGATAAAAAACAGCTCAATGGTCACCAAAAACAACCTTAAACGTTGTTCAAAAGACGACGTTTGAATACGTGTTTCATCTTGTTTTGGTTTCTGAAGCCACTGGACACCTTTCAACAACCTTTTCAAGACGTAAAGCTTTAAGCCGCAAGGCGTAAACACGCCACAAGACCGTATAGCCATTAAAATAAAACAGAACGTTTTAATGCCTGCTTTTGAACGGAATGATTACTATACCTGAACCACTTTTTAATAAATCAGAAAGATCAGAGATTGAATAGCACATGCTGCCTTTTATGCCTATTCTATACGCTGTTATTTTTAGCTGCCTTAGTCCAAAGGTTTCTTTAGTAAACGCAACTGATCTAATTTGTTGCTTTAAGCAAGGCAGCGGCACTATTGAGCACATTTGATGATGAAAAAGTAAGAGTTAGTTACCGAGAACGGAGGCATTACGCTATATACAGCCCGAGGGCCGCAGGCCCGAGGGCTGTATATAGCGTAATGCCGACGTGCGAGGTAACTAACAAACTTAGTTTTCAATTCACGTGGTTTTCGCAAAAACTGAATAGACTTAATGAATGTTTTCTTAGTTGGGTTTCGAACAATAGAATCCTCTTCTCTTGAGACTTTTTCATGGACTGTTGAAATTAGTTTCCTTTAAGAAAACCTGTTCATGCGAAAGCGAGCAATCGAMATTTGAATATTGTTATCAAATATTCTTAGCAGTCATTCTGGAAACGATGTCGAACAGTGACGATTTGTTTTAGCTCAAAATACGTTTGACATTATTCCTTTGACGAACTTTGATATTGACGATTTGCTATCGGATTTGGAACTCCGCATGCTTCTTCTACGATGACAAAGTCTGCAGATGGGAAAAAATGAGAAAAATTACAATAGTTTTTGATGTTGAACTCGCTCGAAAAAATACGAGGGAAGGATTSAAGAAGGAACAAACTAATGTACCAATAAATGGCCGTGTGTACGTGCTTGGGTAGAATGGACCAAGTCACACCGATTGCTTCTGTTTCATAC